TAAGAAGAAATTCAGTCACACATGTTCATAATAATTGAAAAGCAATCTAGAATAAACATTTAAACTAATCAAGGGAAGAACTCTGAAAACCCCAATGGATGCAGTAGGTTCCGGCTCCAAGTTCTTCTTCTCTCTTTCTCCTTCTCGCTACGGCACAAAAAAAAACTCCATTCTCTTGTGGCAACCCCTCCTTTATATATGTGGTAGATCTAGGGTAAAAGGGGCCAGCAAAAACCCACGAAATTAGGGTTTTGTTTGGCAGATATCTTTAGGAACAAGGATAGGGCCCAACAGAAACCCACAAAATTAGGGTTTTTAGGTTTCCTAATCTGAAACTAATCCCCCCTTTTCCAGCTGGAATTTAGGTAGAATAGGATTAGGATAAGGTAAAATAAAATAAAATCAGTTAGGGTTTTTTTCCTTCCCAGAAGCTAATTCTTGAATTAATTTCTCCATCTTTTTAGCACATTCCTAGCCTCTTTGAACTTCAAAAACTTCCATCCATCTTGGCCCATGCATATGCTATCCATTCTAAGTCCAAAACTGCTCTAAAATGCTCCAAAATGCCATTTCTTGCCAATCTTGCCATCTGGACCTACAGTAGTACGAAAATAAGGTAAATCACTCTAATAAATGGGAATTAACTAAGTAAATGCAAAGAAATAAGATAGTAAAGTCGCATAAATATGCTCCTATCACAAATCACCAACATCATCTTCTTCGTTGCCTCTGCAACCCAAAAAAGAAAAAAGAAAAACTAGTCGTGGTGCTGCCAGAGCAGAGTAGATGCATCTGGAAGAAGTTTAGAGAGCAGCGCAAAGCAAGCCCAGAGGGGACTTTCATCGAGCACCTTATGTGCAGACAAGAGGTCACTTAAATAACAGCCAAAGGGTAACTGATAGAGTTCACGGCGAAATTTCCCCCATCCCAAGGGGTCGTGTGACCCTGTTGTCCCAAGTGCGTCCGCCTCTGGGAGAGAGAGCGTTACCAGTTTTCTAAGAGATGTGCTCCTTGGGCACATCACCAGATGAGATCACCTTTATTGGAGTTCTTTCAGCGTGTAGCTATAGTGGGAAGGTAGGAAAAGGTCTTGAAAATGTTGAGATAATGAAATCAAGGTACCAGGTGGAGCCAAGAACTGAACATTATGCTTGTATGGTTGATCTGCTTGGTCAAGAAGGAAAGGTAAAGGAGGCAATGGATTTAATTAAGAAAATGTCAATTGAAGCAGATGCAATTGTATTGCATGATGTGGATGAAGAAGAAAAGGCACACAGCTTGAGTTATCATAGTGAGAAAATGGCCATTGCATATGGACTCTTGAAGGTGCCATAGGGGATGCCCATTTGGGTGATGAAGAAACTTTGAGTTTGTGGGGATTGCCATTCTGTAATTAAATTAATATCCAAAGTGATGGGAAGAGAGATCATATTGAGGGATGCTAACAGATTTAATCATTTTAAGGATGGCTTGTGTTCTTGCAGAGACTGTTGGTGATTGCAAACCTTGTGTTATGGGGATCGATCCTAGGAAAGACTGGTTTTGAGACAGGAATCATGCCTAGCAGAGTTAATTGGTCAAATTTGTTTTTAGACTGAAAACTTCACCATGGCAGGCAGACAATGATACTTCAAAATGATGATACTATTTATTATGCCATGAGGGGAACCTACTAAAATTGTGTTAGTATATGATTTTCAAATCAATCGAGGAATTTTGAGGTTCAAATATGGTCTATCCTCAAGGGAAAAGGACATGGAAGGAAAAACTATTTACATGGTCCTTAATGCCCAATCTTATTGCATTGTCCTCTAAATTATACAATTGATAACTTCGAGTAGAGGTGTCAAACGGGATGGGCCGGCCTAGTACGGTGAAGGAAGTTGAGGTTCCACCCCAAAACCAATTGGCAATGGGGGGAGTAGCCCAACTCCTTATAAGCCCTTGCTAGGTTTCTTAACTTTCCAATGTGGGACTCTTTACCTGTTAAGATTTCAGAGGGACGGACCCTTAGCCCACCTCTAGTAATATCGATATTGTCCCCAACTTGACCACCTGTTTAGCAGGTGTGGGATTTTATACAAAAGGCATCGATGTTATTAGGAGTGGAACCATTTATTATATGAGACTTTCTATTTTGTTAAGTTTCCGATGTGAGACTCGTGTATTCTTCAACACTCCTCCTCACGTGGGACCACTTCTTAGTGGGCCACACGTGCAATCAATTCAACATCAGTCACTTTTTTTCTTTTTTTCTTTTTTTTTTAATTTTTAATTTAGGGTTTTTTTTGTTTGATTTGAGTTTGTTTGATTTGGGTTTAATTGGGCCCAGTCAACCGACCCGCTATGATACCATATTAAGATTTCAGAGGAACGAACCCTTGGCCCACCTCTAGCAACATCGATATTGTCCCCAACTTAACCACCTGTTTAGTAGCTGTGGGGTTTTATACAAAAGACCTCGATGTTATTAGGAGTGGAACCATTTATAATATGGGACTTTCTCTTCTGTTAAGTTTCCGATGTGCGACTCGTGTATTCTTCAACACATGGCATGAGCGCAGCTAATTTAAATGAGGCACGGCACGGCACAAGCACGAATAGTAATGGGGTCCAATGGATCAGGCCGGCCTGTGGCCCGAGTCCGCTTCAAGCATGGCCCGAGCCCAAGTCCGCTTCAAGCACATCCCACTTAACTTTTTTTTTTCCTTTCTCAAAAGTCAAAATGCAAAATTTTGACATCTAATATCATTGTTTTATATTTATATTTTTATTATTTTTTATAATCATAAACATATATTTGATGTCTTTTATTTTAAGGAAATTTCTTGGATCCGTAATTAATTAAACATATCAACTACAAATTAATTTAACAACATTGGACTTGATATCCAATCAGTACATATGACATATACGTTTCTCTTATAATCAAAACAAGACAATTTTCACATATAAAATAAAAAGTTGTTTAAAGATGAAAAGTTGAAGTGGACTTTGTGGAGTTGTACACTTTCTGCCCTCCGCCCTTTTATATCGTTTGGATGTTTGATTGATTAATGTTTTCAAATAGTTCATCATTTCTTGCCTCTAATTATATTTTTAATGTTTATAATTTGAATTATCAAGTATAAATAAATAAATCAAGTGAAAAAACTTCAAATTAAATGGGTTGGTTCTTGGGGCCGAGCATGGCACGAGCACGGGCATTGCACGAGCCCGGCCCGGCCCATTTCAATGTGGACATGGGCTTTGGGCCGGGCTGGGATCAATGATTTTACTAAATGGGCCGGCACGCACAACCCGATAAATTAAATGGGCCGTCCTGGTACGACACGAAAACGGTAAAAGCATGAGTTTAAATGGGACGAGCCGGCCCGGCACGGTCCGTTGGACACCTTTAACTTCGAGTTTAGGGTCTACAACAAGGGGTCAAGATTTGAAACGGTTTTAAAGTACTTATGAGTGTATGATCATGTGACAAAGGCATGGGAAGATTGCTTACAGAGGTGAGTATCGTGTTTGTTTGCTGCATATTACTAGCAAATTCTCTTATGGTTAGGTATGTTTTCAAAATCGGGAGATCCTCATTGAAAATTGAGTAGGTATTCTTCTTTATTCAAACTTTCAATTCCTAATTTCATGACCAGATTTTCATCACTTGTCTTCTGGAATTGCCTCACGAAGACGCACCATCAGAAAGGATATCGAGATGACTACCTAATTGTTGTAGATCATGTTTAGTTCTTGCTGTTTGTTTTCTCCCTATTTTTTGACAACATAATTGGGATGTAGGAACTTGCCTGAAGTACTGTAAATTTATTTTTCTACATTTGGGACATAGAATGATGTAAGAACTTCCCTCCTCCATTTATTATACTGTCCTAAGTGTCTAGATTCAGATGACACGAAAATAAAAATTGCAGTTTTTTAAACGCAATTTGTACTTTTGGATCGTTCTCCTTTCAACTGTCCTTGACATACCAATTTGTTTCTTCATACGATTGACAGACTTAAAATTGGTTCAGTCCAAAAGAAAAAAAGCAAAAATAATTAGCAAGAAACAATTTGGTCAAGAATCATGACAGCATGCACGTATAATTTGCCCATTGAATATATTATGCTTGAATGACAACTTTTATATAAATTCAAGGAATGAGTGTTTGCATTGAAGTCTTTGCATGTTTGGCTAAACTGGAGGCTGCAAATGCTGACCTTGCAAAATCTTGAAGTAGAGGTTAATCTTTTTTGTTCAGCTCCTTTTGGCAGTGAAAGCTATATCATACTATACATTTCTGATCACCCACATTCTTCCCTCCTATCTTCTTGTTATCGTCTCTTATGAAAAGTTTTTATTTATTTTTTTTATTTAATCTTTTTGCACAGCAGAAAGCATGAAAAAATAATGGCGAAAAAAAGGTATGAGAGCATATATGAGAATCGGGCAGAGAAGGGTGAGATTTATTATGTGATTTGATATTTATATCACACACTCAAAAGTGTCACAATACAACATTAATGAAATAAGTTTTTTTAATTCCACAGTACTTTTAAGCTTCAAAAAGTTCCATTAAGATCTCAATTGAATACAACCTCCTTAATTTCAACTTGTTCCAATGATCACAAATATGCATGTCTGTTTGGGACTCGGTATGCCATGCTCTTTGGCATCAGTACACGGATTTGTTGGCTCAGGTGTTACCGAAGGTGTTTCATCGGATGAAGTCGGCGACAACCTGGCCTTTCCCATCTCGATTGCCCACTTGACCAATCGACCAGACTTTTCTGGTTTTTGGAACACCTGTCAAAGTGGTTGGTTAGTTAAGACCGTGATTAGTTGCGCCTAAAAATACGAACAGAGTCTTCGGGCTGAGATGATGAGGGCTAAGGCCAGCTGTTTTAAGGGAGGATACTGAATTTTTGCACTTTCCAGTGCTTTACTGACATAAAAGATCGGTAGTTTTGCCTTCTTTGGTCTGCGTATCAGTACTGAGCTGACGAGAGTACTAGATACCGAAAGATAAAGGAACAGAACCTCCCCGGGGAGGGGTTTTGACAACAAAGGTGCTTTGCTTATATAGTTCTTTAAATATTAAAATGCTTTATCATATTCGGCAGTCCAAGCGATATACTGTTTACCCCTTTTCAAGGCTTTGACGAACGGTGCACACTTATTGGTAGACTTAGAAACGAAACAGGTTAGAGCGGCCACACGTTTGATAAGGCTCTGAATGTCCTTTTGTGTCTGCAGCCTCTTCATGTCGATTATGGCTTTGATTTTTTTCGGGGTTCGCCTCAATTCCTCTTTGACTGATCATAAAGCCGAGAAATTTTTCGGAAGATACACCGAAGGCGCACTTCGTCGAGTTGTGTAGATGTTCCCCTGCAGTCTTACTCTTTACCAACATGTCGTCAACATACACTTCCATGGTGCTGCCGATATGTTTAGCGAAGATTTAGTTGATGAGCCTCTGATATGTTGCCCCTGCATTCTTTAAGTCGAACGGCATGATGTTATAGCAGTACAGTCCCCTGTCCGTGATAAATGCCATATGTTCGCTGTTGGCAGGGTACATGAATATCTTATTGTACCCCGAATAAGTGTCTATGAAGCTAAGCATATCATGGCCAGCAGTGGGGTCTACGAGTTGGTCGATCCAAGGCAATGGGAAGCTATCCTTCTGACAGGCCTTATTTAGATCGGTATAGTCTTGACACATTCGCCACCCGCCTTTCACCTTCTGAACCATCACGGAGTTCGCCAGCCACACAAGGTATGTAGCCTCCCAGATAAAGCTGATAGCTTGGAGCTTGTCAAACTCGGCTCTCATGGCTTTGTACCGTTTGGTATCGAACGATCGACGCTTCTGATGCACGGGTTTATACATAGGGGAGATGTTGATCTTGTGGCTGATGACGTCAGGGGAGATACCTACCATATCATCATATGACCAGGCGAACACTTCGGAATGGTGCCGTAAGAACTCAATAAACTCTGCTTGGAGGGCAGGGGTGAGTGTGGTGTCGATCTTTATGCACTGTTCTGGTTGGTCCTCGTTTAAGACGACTGTTTCCAATTCTATGGCAGGTTGCAGTTGTGGCATCGGAGCTTCATCATTTGGGTCATCAATGGGCCCATTACTATTCGACGCCCCTTGAACATTTAAGGTCTCCCTTGGAGGGTTGAAGGCTGCCGATTTTAGCGCTGTCTCATAGCATGTTTGCGCACTAAGTTGTTCTCCTCGGATCGTACCTGTGTCATGGCAAGTTGGGAATTTCATCAGCAACATGTGGGATGAAAGGTGCGCCTTGGTACCAATGAGTGTCGTTCGGCCTATTATAACGTTGTATGTCGTTGGATTGTCGACTATGAGGAATTGGTCATATATCATTATTTTTCTTGGGGTAACGCTGAAGGAGATGGGCAAACTAATGCTACCGATTGGTTGAACTAGTTCCCCACAGAAACTGAGTAGGGGCGTCAACTGCCGATTGACATGGCTATCGTCTATACCCAATTCCCCAAATGCGTCGGCAAATATTACGTTTACCGAACTTCCTGTATCGATCAGCACTCGTCCCACATCAAAGTCGGCAATTTC